GAACATTTTATGTTTTTTATTTGGAAGAAATTAGAGAAATGTTTCTCAACCTCTCATAAAATTCTAGTAAAAACTATCTTCTGTATGATTCTTCTAACACAGAATGTTTACTAAAGTGTCTTTACAGTACTTGTGAAAGCTTATTTTTTTATGTTTATTTATATTTTGAGAGATATGGGGGGGGGCAGAGAGAGAGGGAGAGAGAATTCCCCAAGTAGTTCCGCACTGTCAGTCTATAGCCCCCACATGCAGCTGGAACTCACCAAAACCTAGAGAGGGACACTTAACCAACTGAGCCACCCAGGTGCCCGTGAAAGCTTATTCTAAAATCAATTAAAATGTGAATACCTAAATAACACCCCAAATTGGGAATTCTCCGTATATACATGTTACCTAGAACCCAAAAAAGCTTTATTCTAAATATATTTCACTTCATGTTCCCTTAGGTACTTGGTTCCTCTAAAGAACATAAACTAGAATTTATAAAGTAACACGGGCATAATACTTCACTTACTTTTTTACACACTTACTTCTTGACAGTTACAAGGAACAAGACTTTTCTGTTATAGAGACAAAATTACATATTAAGGATTAAGTAGAAAATGCCTACTTTAAAAACTGGACAGTCTTGGCAAATGCTCATTGTCATCTGATTTTAAAGGACTTTTTCTAGCATACATAAAAACTCACATGTGTTATCGAAGTAGTTTCCAAAAAGCAAATGGGCTTTTTCTGAAGAGTTGGGAAATCCCATCTTTAAAGCTTATATATACAATAAAATAACACACATGAAAAGCAAAACATCTAATGAATTAGTATAACCCCACCAACACAATGTTTGTTACCGTGTTTAAAAGCATTTATTTAAAATACGTCAAACTCCTTCCAAAAAAGACGGAAGACACGAGCCTAATTCTTATATTGAACGAGGTATATTGGTAACAACAACAACAACAAAATTCCTAAATGCAAATGGACCATCAGTTGCCCAAATATCAAACTGAACTTTGGCAAAGATAGGAGTGTTATACAGAAAACACAGTCAGTACATGGTCTCCCATATCACGGCCCATTCACTCACCCTTTCAGAGGATGACTTACAACCCTGTCCCAGACGACTCAGAATTTTAATCATATGGTCTGCTAACACTTATTCTTCTCAAACCTCAGTACTACAGCTATACAAATTACACTTTTAAGATATTTGAAACAGATATTGAATTTATTGGTTGGCTATGAGTAGGAAAATACATCAGTAAAGAAAAGAGACCCTGTATATAAATATAATACTAGCTAGTTACAATTTGACCAAGAAGGTTCCACTGAAAAGAACAGTAAAAGCCCTTGTTACCACCAGTCCATAGGTACATATTCAGTTTCCCATGACCCTTATCAAAGAGCTGCCTAGGCAAATGCGACATTCTTCAAGCTTAGTGCAGATAATGTGCTGGGTTCTGTTACATGAACGGTAAACACAAATTAGCCCAGTGCATATTACACAAGATAATGTACTGTGAATAAAAACTAGATCTTCTATTTTAGACGCTACTTCAACATACCGGTTATTAAACTTTATGTAACCAAAAAGAAGAGCCAAGTGAACATCTTAAAATACTGTTTCTGAGTAGGGGAGAGACACTTGCTAAAGGTGTTGTTTGAATTATCTGCAGCATTTGTATGGAATACTCTGATAGGTTCATTAAAAGAACAAACTGCTGTAATTGCTTTGCCTAGGTTGGCTTTTGTCTTACAGATGACATGACCCCAAGACCTTAGAAGTCACTATGGAAACGAATTCCATGAATTGAAATAGTAAAAAATGGAATACTACAACTGGAATTTGTCACTGAAAGCTTGAATCTTAGAAAAGCTTTGAAATTTTAATTTCAACATTTAGAAGTGCATTCCACCCAATTTAATAATGTCCTTAGGTTTCAAAGTGCTAACTCAAAATAAGTTTTCCTGGCTGTCACCAAATCAAGAATGAAAACACATTTCTTGGAGATGTTCCTTGCCTGTCTTCTAGAACTATTGAAGTTTCAATCAACAATTTCTACAACTTTAGTTTAAATTATGCCATAAGTTAATTTTGATGAACATTATTTAAATTCTCAAAGCATAAATAATTACCAGTAATACGGTAAAATGTACTTCAAGAGATTTACAACAAGGAATTGAGTGCCTCCAAATTTCTGATCAGTAAAAACAGAAAACATACCCCAAAATTCTCTGTATAACATTCACAAAATGGATTTATCCAGCAAGAACACTGAAATTACATTATGGCAACACCACGTTAAATACATGTGTTACAGAATTTTGAAAAAAGTCTATACTGTGAAAACATACTAATTTTTATTGCATTTTAAGGAATATGGATTATTGGAAATTACTCAGGACACAGAAAAGATTTAAAACACAAAATTATTTTGGTGTGACTGTTCAGTCCTTACGGACCCAAAATATTTCTTTCTCTTTTGAAGGTGACACTTGTAAATCTACACCCTTGGTTCAATTTATCACTAGATGGAGAAGCTGTTCAAACTGGCCCACAGAATGCAGTGTGCCCAGAAGAGGCAAGAACAAATAGTTGAGACACAACAGGCCCTCATATCTTACTATGCTGCCCCCAAATTCGAATATATTGTAGACAATAACAAATACAGATGAAAACATTTTGTGTAAAGCTCAAACCTTTAGCATCTAACAAGTGCACTCTAGTTCCAGCATCTACAAAAAGAATACATCCTCTGTTAACAAATACAAATGAGTAAGTGCTTCTCCCCTCCCCTGTCCATAAAGCTCTCTGGACCTGTTCTCACGTAATGCAGATCATAGGAAAAGCAGTTCCCTTGCCTCATCAGTCCAACCAGCTCCAGCTCGCCCTCGCTGGAAATTGTCATGATGCACGTTACCAACACAGTGTTTAGGAAAAAATGAGTAAACACACCTTTTATTCACACTTTACAAAAAAATAAAACAAAACAAAACAAAAACCCCATAAAAAGTTATGCATTGGTTCTACATCAGTAATACCAGCTTTCCAATGTACTGATTATAAACTGGATGTGTTTGGTGTCAGCACAACTTAAAACAAAAAGCAAAAAATAAAAAGTCATCACAACAAAATCTTTAAAACCCTCAAAGGAAAAACCAGGTCCCAGACAAAGATTCAAGATCAACACCTTTTGGAAAATTCTTTAAAAAAGAAAAAAAAATCATTTATTTAAACAGCATGTAATTTTATTTTCTCTTAAAAACAGAATAAGCACATTTAAGTGCTGAATATTTTTCATAAAATTTTAAGTCATTATCCAAAATGACTCATTCTCTGTATAAAAATTAAGAACATCTCAATGTTTTTTCTTAATGCTCACATGGTGTCCTTTTGCTCCCCTGCCTGCAGTTGAAACAAAAGCAGTTAGACCACGTTCCCTCTGAATTCATTTGACTTTTGAGAGAATGAATGAATGAGAACAGAATACATACAAGTTACCTTTGCAAAGTTAAAAGCTGGCTTTAATCTCTAATCTACTACTGGCACTATGGGCAAAATACAGGGTACAACAGAACCTTTATCTCGGTTGACCTACTAAAATGACTCAGTCACTTTATAAATGATCTGAAGAATTGTCGTAGGGACCTGTTTTGAAAATACATCTCATTTATACTGTTTCATAAATGGAAAATTATTTTCTTTTTTTTTTTTTAAAAAGGAATGATTAAAAAAAAACACATGGAAAACAAAAAGAATTCACATGATAGTAGTATTCTGGGTGACGAACAGCACTGTGCAATGACAGACACCAAGAAGCAGTGCCTGGGTCTGGTGAGCAAAGACCCAGGGACCCACCCTATGAACATGTTCCAAAATGGGATATTCAATGCTTCACAATGGAAAAAAAGCCACAGCTCATACAAAAGCATTTTCATAAAATTCCCACAAATGTTAAAACAGTATTTAAAAAATATAAAAGAGGATGCACAGATTTTCTCTGCATGCACAGGCAGTGCTTGGTGAGAACAAATTTAGGCAGGCACAGTGGAGATAGGACAGGAAGTGTCTCAAAAAGGAGTTAAGAAGCTGTATCCAAGCAGCTGGAATTTTTTAACTTAAAAAAGTTAAAGATTAAAAAATACCAGAATGTACATATATCAACCATTACATTCAGTCCATAAATGCCTACAGATCATTCACTGCTCAGCTTATCTGTCCTGGTAGATAGTTTTTGTAAAAACCCAGGAATTCATGAACAAGTTGCCTCTGGTCTGAGAAAATGTCCAAAGCTTTAAGCAGATTTAGATTTAAAGAGCAATGTTCTCAGTTTAAAAATAAAGTAGTACAAAAGGGCTAACAAAACCCTAACAGTGCAAATCATCAGCAGAGAAAGTCTGTTGCAACTTCTTTTACAAGCTGGCCTTTATAACACATGAAACAGTAAAAAAACTTAGCCTTAGTTTACAATACAATCATTTCCAAATCTGAATTTTTAGTACAAAATTTCATAAATCAGGTCTTCTGTGGATCATATACAATCATAAAGGCTAAATTCAAAGTCTCTATTTTACAAACAAGTCTGAAAAGGGAGGGAGTAGAGTATGGAAGAATGGTCTCTGGATGTTATTACTGGCCTCAAAAAAGTAGTGCTACAGATTTCTGTGCAAAGAGAATATGCTGTTCAAACATTTTCCTATTTCAAGGCATGAAAATATTACATTGGATACAAGAAACAGGAAAATTACTTGTAACAAATTAAAGATAGGTGTAAACACACCGATCCCTGTCTAACAGTATATAAAGCATATTGGGCTCAGAATTTGTCTGTTGCTAGCACCTGGCTTTCATACGATATCCTTATCAAATAATCAAGATCGAAAATTCAAATCCTCAAGGAAAAGAAAACAACAAAACAAAACCCTGGTGGCCATACCTCACTCCCCCACATTCAGATTTTATGAGTTTACAAGTGAAATTGAGGTTGTCCTCTGAAGGTACTTGACTACCTCCTGCCAGGGAGGTGAATGCCGTTGACTTGGGGCAGGAAAGGCAGTAAGAGCTCCAGTTGTGCAAAAAGTGAGAAGTGGTCGGAGGGGATGAGTGGATGTGGGCAGCCGCTGATGTTATTCTCAACTAGCCAGTGGTGGTCCAGAGGTCCCAGGATGCCTAAAGTGTTCAGCTGAGGTTTAGAATAGAAGATGTAGTCAATTATACCCTGAAAAATAGAAGGAAAAAAAGATACAGCCTCACATAAGAGAATACTGAAACACTGAGAGCTTTCAAGACATACCCTTACAGTCATGTTTGGTAAACAAAGAAAGTGGCTGGCGTGTGAGAGGTAGGAAGACATAAACCAAATTGTCCCCCAAATGTCCAATCTAGCAGAATGAAGACAGTTTAGGTAGGAATAATAATCATGCATTCTTCCTCCTTTCTGGACTTTTTAGAATCTTTAATGAGACCTACAGGATCCTTCGTGGTATGGTCTCTGCTTCTCTGCCCTAACTTGATTTGTAATATTTTCCTATGCTCACTACCCTATCACCACACTAGCCTTCTTTTTTCCGGGTTGGGGTGGGGAAGACATTCCTTGAAGATGCCAAGCTCTTTCTTGCCCCAGGGCCTCCACATATACTGTTCCTTCTGCCTGGAACACTTTCTTCTTTCTACATGTCAGTTGGTTCATTTCTTCTCAGCCTTCGCGTGTTGAGTTCACTTTCCAAAGACCTTCTTGAATCCTGCCCTCACCCACTTAATACCTGTTACCACCTCCAAGTTTATTCTCTTGCTAAGGCGTACCCCAGGTGTAACTACACACTCATCTGCTTGGTCGAGACCTGCCTCTCCCATCAGACTGTCAACTCCATGAGGGCAGGGCCATCTCTGCCTTTCACATCCTCAGCAGCACCCAGCACAGCACCTGGCGTCTATTTGCCCCTCTCCTCCCTGTAACTTGAGCCTCTCCTCAACATGGTTTCAGCCAAAAATATTTAAGCACATTCAGGTGTCTTCCTATCTCTGTATCAGCAACAGGAACAAGAGAGAAAAAATCCCTACCTCTCCCACCTTTTGGTTATCAGCCTCGCCTCCTCTTTACATTTTTAAAAAATGTTTATTCATTTTTGAGAGAGACAGAGCATGAGTGGGTGAGGGGCAGAGAGAGGGAGGGAGAGAGAGAGAGAGAGAGACAGAATCCAAAGCAGGCTCCAGGCTCTGAGCTGTCAGTATAGAGCCCGACGTGGGGCTTGAACTCATGAACTGTGAGATCATGACCTGAGTCTAAATTGATGCTTAACTGACTGAGCCACGAAGGTGCCCTCCTCACCTCCTCTTTAAAACAAAAATCTAAAAAATTGGTTTTCACTATCAGTCACCTCATTCTTCAACTCACCATATTCCAGTCTCTGTGCCTAGCTCTCCAGTGAAGCATCTTTCACCAAGATCTTTCTGAAGCACAAAGCACACTCCTCTTTCCCTAGAAAGGCCTTCTTTCCTTGTCAGGTAGGCTCCTACACTGCCCTGGTTTTCTTCCTCTCTCTGATTACTCTTCTGTTGTTCACATGTTCATTTTCCCCAGTCTCCTCTAGCCTCTCTTCAACCCGACACACTCATTTGTTCCCAGGGTTAAATCATTATCTACAGTACTGTGGCTCCTCCAAAGTCAAATTAAAAAGATTTCAAGCTCTAAGTCTAAACAGCGCTCCCCCTCTAAAATTAAGAACCAGCTAACACTAGTATTTTCACTCTAACACATAATCTAATCTGAATGATTATTTTTCCAGGAGGTTAGAAATGGAAAACTAAGATTTAGGAGAGCAGAAATTCAAAAGATGGTTAAAAAGGACAGATGAATGCAAGTCCTAAACAATCACCGATATTATTATTATTTTTTTTTAACATTTATTTATTTTTGAGACAGAGAGAGACAGAGCATGAACGGGGGAGGGTCAGAGAGAGAGGGACACAGAATCTGAAACAGGCTCCAGGCTCTGAGCGGTCAGCACAGAGCCCAACGCGGGGCTCGAACTCACAGACCGCGAGATCATGACCTGAGCTGAAGACGGACACTTAACCGACTGAGCCACCCAGGCGCCCCAACAATCACTGATATTAAAAATGAGGAGAAGCTCTAAGGCAAGGCTCCATATTGTAAGCCGTTAACTGCATATGAAATAAATAGAAGATGTATTTTAAAATGGCTAATATAAAACACATTTTGGCACTTGAGGAGTAGTTTCACTTAAATTATAATATGAGAGATGAAATATGTCACTCCAGCTGACACCAAATTAGATACTACACAGTACTTTCCGAACAGCTGAGCATATAAGAAATGTATCTGCCCCAAAACAGTAACAGTTAACTCAGGATTTACTATCATTATTTCATATGACTTCTCACCCTGGAAATGATTCTATCAAGTACCTCTCAAGTAGGAATGGGACACGGATCACATCAAATTCCACAGAAGAGTGATAAGAGAACACTGCTGTGAAGTGATTCAAGATGGCTTGCTTCCAGTCTGAACACACACCCACACTTGTGTTCAGAGAGAAAGCGCACGCACGTGTGCACATGAGTGGTTGCGGGGAGGGAGGTAGCACAGAGGAAAGGGAGACAGAATCCCAAGCAGGCTCCACACTCAGCAAGGAGACCAACGTGGGGCTAGATCCCACGACCTTGGGATCATGACCTGAGTCAAAATCAAGAGTCGGACACTCAACCGACTGAGCCACCCAGGCACCTCTACACATCCACATTTTAAAGACATAATAAAGTTACAAGACTCTCCAAAAAAACTGGAGGTTTGAAAAGTTTCTCAATCTCAAAAGTCACCTTGAAATCGAACGTGTAATTTGTGTAAGGCATCAGGCCGCTCTCGTAGGCACTCTTCAACTTGAAACCATGAGTGATCCTTCCATTGGTTGTCCCGTTTTTCCCATTACAGCTGAAGTTTGTAAGACTCTCATTATATCTCAGTTCCTTAAAATCTTTATGATTTGTTTCTACTCCACCGGTACTCAAGTATTCCACAACACCTATAATGAAGATACAGGTCCTTTGCTCACTGTCAAGTAGAATATGCAGTGTACAAAACTACAATGTAACAGTAAATACTTTAAACAGCACGTTCCTCCTTTCTAAAATGTTTGGTTGGTTGTTTTACGTCTCCTAGAACCTATCTAAATCCATTTTTACATGGTTTTGATCGTAGTATACTGCATATTTTATACTTTGCTGTGGCACATGAACTCGTGTCTTTTCGATCACCATTTTTTTAATGGCTGCTTAATACAACTGCCCTGGTGTTTCATATTCGTTAAACCAGTTCATTTCTTAAAAAACTTCAGGTTGTTTCCACTTTTTAAGAAGAATTAATACCATAATCAACATCTTAGTATGTAGGTTTCTGCTTATGCTGAATTATTTACTTGGTATAAAATACCAAGATTAGAATTAATGTGTCATTATACATACTGCCCACTACATAAGAGAACGCCACCGGTTAGATGGGCTCTACAAATAGTTCTTTTACTTTGCATTTCATTAGTTAACAAGGTTGGACACTTCCCCATGCGTCTGCCACTATTTTTAACACTGAAATGAGACTTACTATGTATTATTTGACTAGAGTCTCCCTTTGCCCCTCAGATACTTTGTAGCTAAACAGAATGCAGAACACACATACAGCAACTACTAGAGAATAGTTGTCAACTGCTTTAGCAGCTGTAATGCCCAGATAGCTTGATGAGATGGACTAAAGAATTATGGACCTCAGCTACCTTTACTTGCCCTGAAAATGAATTTTAACATAGTTACAGCTCCCATGTATCGTGACGGCAGTGATGTACTAGTGAACTGAACCAACCCAAGTGGACGTATGTGTGTGCATGCATGCTTACACACATACACAAGTGCCAGGGAAAGTATTTTGTGTGAATGAGAAACTATAATCAAGGAGGAGCTGAAATATAAAAAGGAATAAGTACTTAGTTTGATATTATAAGAACTACGGCTTGTTCACTGTACTATCTAATGGAAAAGTATTCAGAAATAAGCCTTTCTGTATTCTTCTGCTTTGTAATAAAAATCAAGATCCCTGTTTTTTGTTTTGTTTTTTTTTGTTGTTGTTGTTCAAATCACTTGCCCGATCTGTGTAAATAAAGGATCTCAATTTCCACCTAAGGTTTATTATTATTATTTTTTATATTAAAAAAAAATTTTTTTAACATTTATTTATTTTTAAGAGACAGAGAGAGACAAAGCACAAGTGGGGGAGGGGCAGAGAGAGAAAGAGACACAGAATCCGAAGCAAGCTCCAAGCTCTGAGCTGTCAGCACAGAGACCAACACGGGGCTTGAACCCACAAACCGCGAGATCATGGACCTGAGCCAAAGTCAGGCACTTAACCAACTGAGCCACCCAGCACCCATAAGGATTATTTTTTCTAATCAAGCCCACCAAAACGGAAATCCTGTAAATATCCAATTTAAACTGGTTTGTATTACTACATGCTGGAATCCCAAAGAAGTGGTCTTAATAACCTTCTCAGAGTCTGGATTATATGTCACCTGGGGATATGGAAATCTAATCACACATTCTTTCAAGTTATCAACCACATGTTTATCGAAGATGATTAATGTCCTTCCTTCTTAGGTTTTCATCTCATTTTTAAAATAGTCTCCCTATTTGCACACAAAATATGTTAAACCTGATTCATAGTTGACGTTACAAACTGAATATTCATTTTGACTAAATTTGGGATTATCAGAAATGATACCTTACAAAAACATTTTAAGTCAAAAAAGCATTCTATATAAAAGAACTTTTCTTACCAGAATCTGGCAAAGAATTAAGATCTGCACATAACACCAGTGGAATAGTTCCAAATTCTCCCAATACACTGGACTGGAGGTTTCGTGAGGCTTTATCAATAATGTTCTTCACTTCTGAGAGGAACATCATAGTTTGAACCAACTTCACATCAGAGTATTCAGGGTCCCAATGCATATGAGCATTAGCCACAAGAATAAGTTGTTTTTCTGTTCCAAGATGGGGCTTTCCAGCTATATTAGATAAAAAGAAAAGAAACAGACAGACAAAACCCGCCCATCAGCCCATATATTCTTACAGGATTCTTAAAGGATTCTACAGTTTCCAAACAAAAAAGGACCCTAAAATTTACCTAACAATCTCCCGACAACTAAATCAATCAACAGGACCACAAACCTGAGAAGCAGTCATCTATGCCTCTGGGTGAATAGCCTCTGGGTAAATACTCTCGAGTAGAGGGCATTCACTACTTGAACAAAGCCCATTCTATCTCCGCCAAAACAGCTATCTCCTTGAAACTTCTAGCTTCATCAAGATGTCCTAAAGTGAGTCTCACAAAATCAAATCTACAGCCTTTTTTTCCTAGATATGTTTAATACAGTCACCAAGCTCCATCTTCATTTTTGACTCTTCAAGTTAAGTATCTCTAGTTCCAACTGTTCCTCAAGTGACAGAACTTCCAGTTCTCAGCACGATGGTCACTCTAAATATACTTTTAATTTGAAATAAGTGGTCCATTTATCCAAAACGCAAGACATTTAAAGTAATGATTACAAGTAGGTCAGGAAGAGAAGTTAGCTTACAGAGTATCCTTGCTGTTAAGAAATTACAGGACTGTATGGAGTTCTTCTCTCTGAGCAGTTATTTTAACTAATATTTACTTCAACATTGTTTTTGTGTGAAAAATAGTGGGGAGCAAAAACACCCATTTTCTCCTCTGGTTTTATGCCTTTCAAAATTTGGAATAATTTTCTGGGCACTGCTTTCTCAATCTTAAGGTTTGTGGTAGAGAGAAAGGGATAGGATATTTTAGAAAGGACTTAAATTCTCACTGAGTTTCTTCAGGTGTTAGACAAGACTATTAATATGTAACAAATTTTCTGCTTTCTATCAGATTTTGGAAGTCAATTTTACAGGAAGTGAAAAGGTCACTCACATGACATTTCAATCAATTCCTTTCGAAGTTCTAGCAGTACTGCAACTCCAATGTTATCTTTTGTCATGACTCTGTTCAGCATGGCTTCAGACCCTTCTGAATTTGCCATTGCTAGCTGATTAAATTCAACAGTGTGTTTCTGAACCAAAGTAAATCTAAAACACAAACAAAAACACACACACAAACATAGAATTGGGAATACCAAAGTATTAGCTTTGTGGGAAATGCAGTTTTCCCGAACTTCCTGAACAAATACAATGGCAAGTAAATCACATTATGGAAAATCATCCACACTTAACACCAAGCTTCCCACATCTGTTTCAAGTTATTCTTCGTCTGTTACTGATACAAATAACATCTTGAAATACTTTTACAATGTAAGATAAGGTAGTCATCTTCTGTGTAAGTTTCATGTTGGAATAGTCCATCTTGTAATTTTTAAATAAATCTTTTCCAAAATCTGGGTTTAAGAATCCCTCTACCATCCTAGAGGGAATGTTAATTACAAGAAGTTTCAATTAACAATTGGAGTTAAACCCTAGTAAACACCTGAAGAAACAGCAGCACTTTCAACAAGTCTCCAAAACAAGATTATTTCTGATGATTTAAAACAAAACTATTGAAGAGTACTGTTTTACTGAGCAATAACAACAATGCTTCATTCTCTTATTTGTCGACTAATTTCCACACCCTTGACTCCCTGCAAATACTGAGAAAATTTTCTTTTTTAAATGTAAGAGGACTTACTTTTCCGTCTTGAAGAATATTGCACAGCCATCGACATGTTTTCTTTCTTGTTCTGACATTGTCCTAGCTCTAGATTTAGGACTAAAGAATCCATTATAGCCACGTTCTTTCAGTTCTACCAGAAAAAAACTGTAATACTGTTCTGTTTCAACCTCCTGAAAAATTGTAAATGGCAAAGTTATTTCATAAGACAAAAAATCAGTCCTACGCATTAACTTTATGTGTACAGTTTGAGGGGCTCAAATAATTTCAAAGGACTGCTATGCACAATGAGGAACATAACATCTTTCCAACATATTTTATCTGAAACCCTACTTGTCATTTTATAGATACCTGCTGGTATCCTATTGCTTAGGAGTAAATAATGGAAAGACATACACCTCCATGTGTGTATATTTTCTTATGTTTTATAATAGATGGGGAACAAGAATCAACAGAGGTAGAAGGAACATCACAGATCATACTTTCAGACCACAGGGAGAAAGTGACTTGTCCAAGGTCATAGGAATTATCAGAAGAGGACTGAGACCCCAAAGTTACTGTGCATCAGGTTCAACGCTCTTTCCACCATGTCCTAATTCCTCTATTACTGCTGATGGTAAAGCAAAACCATACCTTGACAATGCCACAGTTTCAATAATATTTGCCACCCAATTAAAAAATAGTGTGCAAGGGCATTTGAGAGGGAAAGATGAATATTTTAACTGTCAAAGCAAATGCCTAAAACCCAAAACAACCTATTTGCTTAATGTGGCAGCACAGCGCAGCTAAATGAAGCAGGTAGTGAATGTTCCAGGATTCACTAAAAACAGAAAAAGCCAATACTTTAAGAAGTGCTAAAGCTGGAACTTTAAATGTGTCAGGGTAATGCATTCCCATTTTGCTCCTTGCTTATCAACACTGGGGCATTTGTGCAATTTAAACACTGTTCCGATGACTTACCTGAAGACTTATGATATCAGCATTGCAGTTCAAAATTTCTTGAATAATGGCCTTTTTCCTGTAGTCCCAATTTAGTGCCCAAGATGGACAGTAGCCGTATAACTGCCGGGTCGCATATTTATCACAAAGAACATTATAGCACATGACAGAAAACAAGGCTGTAGGAAAGATAACTTTACTTATTCACACACGTGGCAGAAAAAAAAACATAATTAATATCAATAGTTTTCACTTAAATGCTAAGGTTGACTTTATTCATTCAATATATATTCATTGAAAAGCTACTATCTGCCAGACATAGCGGATATAAGTTGGATAAGGAAGGAAGGTCAGATAGGTGAACAAATTATAACACAATGTGTTATCTAATGTTACAGAGATACCACAGAAGGCTCAAAGCTAAAAGACTAAGATCTTGAGTCCCTTGGTCTGTAAGACCAGGGCTCCTCATTTCTATACTCCCCCTACCACTTTGCTAACTGCTAATGTACAACGTGGAAACCTGACAATCCTCTTAATAGGCATGGCTTATTTTCTTTTAAAGAGCAACTATTATTAATTCACACAAAAGGAAAAGGTATCATAGACTAAATCCTATTATACACATCATGTAATTCCCAAACTATTTTCATACAATTTAAGTTAAAAGGAAATTAGGGGTCATTAGTTCAATTTCTCTCTCAAGTAAGTGCTTTAGCTGTCTTACAATTCTGTAGTATCAAATACATTTGGAACATAATAGGGTTTGAAAACTTCCAATATAAAGATTTTGGTATATTTATTATAACAAATGAGTCTGATCAATTCTTTACAGCCCAATTAAAAAATAGTGTGCAAGCTGGGGCACCTGGGTGGCTGTCTGACTTCAGCTCAGGTCATGATCTCACAGTTCGTGAGTTCGAGCCCCATGTTTGGCTCTGTGCTGACAGCTTAGAGCCTGGAGCCTGCTTTGGATTCTGTGTCTCCCTCTCTCTCTCAAAAATTAAATAAACATTTAAAAAAATTAAAAAAAAATAGTGTGCAAAGGCATCTTTTCAACATAATTTCTAAACAATGGCATCACTAACATTACGGGTGGGTAAATTCTTTGCTGTGGGGGGCTGTGCTGTGCACTGTAGCATGCTCAGCAGCATCTCTGATCTCTAACCATGAGACATCAGTAGCACTTCCCCTATTTGTGACAATCAAAAAATGTCTCCAGACATTGCTAAATGTCCCCCAGGGGATAAAAATGCCTGAGGTTGAGAAGCATTGCTCTACAGCAGACCTACAGCATATTACAGAGGTCAGGTAAGCAATAATTAAGTCTTTATTATGATCTCCCAAGCCAAATCAATCTCAAGCATACAAATGTAACATAGCCCATAATCTAAAGAATGCCAACAACACTGTTAAATATGTAATATCAAGTAAAAATAAGTTAAAAAAATATAAGGCTACCAACCAGTTGGCCTTGTTCTGTCCGGTTCTTGTAACATAATCCAAGATCTTGGAGGTGGCTGTTCTGTTGAAACTAGTTGAATATAAACACAAAATTAAGTAATATTCTTACACATCTTATTAAAAAAATCATTTAAGCAAATGACCACTTACTTCTTTTTGCAGTACCTGCCAAATTATCAAGCAAATAGTTCAGTAGCCTTCTTGTTCCATCTGGTTCCAGATAGAGGTTCAATATATCCTGGGTAAGTGGATTTCCTGGAAATATTTTTTAAAAAGGTAAAATGAAACCAAGAAAGGTAATAAAATATTGCAAAAGTGAAAAAACATACCAAAATTATCAGACCTATCACAATATATGTAGTTATTAGTAAGATACCAAACTAGTGGAAATATTTTTTCAGTTTCTGACATGAAGAATAAAAATGATTGAAACCACGTTCTGCAGAAGTATCCAGAAAACAATTATTGTGGACTAATGTCAATCTAGAAGATATCTAATAGTGCTCTGTATCTGGCCCTGTGTCATCAACACTTTTATGACAATCAAAAGCAAGTGAAACTGGACGGGGAAGAATGGGAAAGAGGACAAGGGAAAGAGGACAGCCACTATAATGGATCAGAGAATCAAAAGTTAAGATGCAACAAAGCTAACATGAAGATATCCTCATGACAGATGTAGTCTTCATTTAGATTTTTAAAAACTCTACTAAATAAAGCAATAACAAGATGGGACAGATCTGATTTAAGATCAAGTTACTGGAGCGCCAGGGTAGCTCCATCGGTTGAGCATCTGACTCTTGATTTTGGCTCAGGTCATGATCCCATGATCCCAGGGTTGTGGGATTGAGCCCTCTGTCAGAGTCTGTGCTGAGCATGGAGCCTGCCTGAGATTCTCTCATTCTCTTTCTCTCTCCCCCTCTGGCCCTTTCCCCTGCTCATGCTCTCTCTCTAAAATAATAAAAACATTTTTTTTTTTTTTTAAAATTTTTTTTTTTTTCAACGTTTATTTATTTTTGGGACAGAGAGAGATGGAGCATGAACGGGGGAGGGGCAGAGAGAGAGGGAGACACAGAATCGGAAACAGGCTCCAGGCTCTGAGCCATCAGCCCAGAGCCTGACGCGGGGCTCGAACTCCCGGACCGTGAGATCGTGACCTGGCTGAAGTCGGACGCTCAACCGACTGCGCCACCCAGGCGCCCCAAACATTTTTTTTTTAAATTTTAAAAAAGATGTAGTCACTAAGGAAAAAGGAAAACCTCAGGACTGTGAGCCATCTGTAAATTCAATGACGGTTTCATAAGTGCTAAAAATGAAAGCAAATGCAATGATTTACATGTATCTACAAGAGTCTCAAATCCTCTCAGAAGGATTTCTTATGTGCTTATGAAAATTAACAGTATAATGAACTGTTTTGAACAGTGAAGGTCCTGGATACCATAACTCCACTTTAAGAAAGACTAATAATAAATTTTATAAATTGAAAAGGATGATTTATAAATCATTATAAAGTGATTATAAGATGTTAACCATGCCAAATGAAAGAAGTTCAAAAGATACTGCCCCCCTCACTTTCTCTGCCAGAGCAGTTAGAAAGAGCAAAATAGGTTTAAGTAAGATCCAAAGTTTTATAATATAATATGAGTACGTCCAGTTTCAGGTGAAAATCACTCATCCTACCAAGAACTAGGAAGAATTCAAACTAAATGAATAAAGATAAACAAGACTCAACACCAAGATGACAAAAACATTAGAATAATCTGACCTAAATAGAGCAGGCATGTTTCAATGAGCACTTCAATGAGAAATTACAAACATGCTTGAAATAAATGAAAAAAATAGGAAGACTCAACCAAGAAAAAGTTTTGGCAAATTAACAAAACATATTTTTAAAAATGGAAATATTGAAACTGAAAAACTGAATACATGAAATAAAAAGCTCGGTGGATGGGTTCAACAGCAAAATAAAGCATCAAAGGAAATAATCAGTGAACTAGAAGACAGTAAGGAACAACAGAAAGGAAACTGAACAACAGAAAGGAAACTGAAAAAAAAAAAATGAAAAGAGCCTCAGGAACCTGTAGGACCACAAGAAAATTCTAAGGTTCATGTCCTCAGAGTTATGGAAACAGACAACAAGAAGCACAGAGCTGAAACAGTACTCAAATAACAGCTGAAAAACTCCCCAGATTTGGAGAAACACAAACGTGCAGATTCAACAGTCTGATAAAATCCAAATAGGACACATTCAAAAGAACCCACAACAAACCACACAGCAACTAAACTTCTAAAAACTAAAGACAAAGACAATGTTGAAGGCAGCCAGAGTAAAACACCTTCCCTCTAGGTAAGAGTAAGAACTAGGGGAAACACAACTTGAATGAGCAGATTTCTCATCACAAGCCATGGTGGTTAAAGGGAAGTGGCACAATAGCTTTAGGTGCTGAAAGAAAAGAGCCAACAACCCAGAACCAATCTCCAGTGAAAACAGCCTTTAGGAATGAAGGAGAAATAAAGACATTCTCAGAGGACTGAAAACTAAGAGAATCTGTTGCCAGCAGGCCTACTATAAAAGAATCAGAACAGAAGTTCTCTAAATAGAAAGGAAATGATAAAAGAAGGAACCCTGGAACATAAGAAAAAAGACCATGGTCTTTAAAAAGGGGCAAACATAGGCTTTCCTTCACTTAAGGTTTCTAACTCATGTTCAGCCGTTAAAATGTCTTTGCTGACTTGGTTCTAAATATAGGTAGAGAAAATATTAAGACAATGATACTATAAACAGGGGGCATATGAAAGGTCATAGAGTTAGAGATTCTATTATTTCACTCAAAATGTAAAATGATAGCCCTACAAGACTTGATAAGTTATGTATGTTATCACATGAAACTTGCTTCAAATATAACAATACAAGCAGGCTGAAAAGAAAAGGATGGGAAAATATATGTCATGTAAACCTTAACAAAAGGAAAGCAAGGGTGACTAATATCAGATAAAGTTGACTTCAGAGAAAATAAATTTACTAGAGAAAGTGACATTATGTAATGATAAAGGAGAAGACACAGCAATTCTAAACATGCATCCACAAAATGAAAGAACTAAAAAATATTTTAAGCAAAAACTGATAGAACTGAAAGGACAATAGAAAAATCTACAATTATGCTGATACTTCAGCACTCATCTCACAATTGACAGAACTAGACAAAAACAAACAACAAAAAGAACTAGACAAAAAAATCCTCTAAATACCATCAATCTAACAGACCCTAGTGTTAATATAGAGGATCCAGATGAGATTTATAGAAGATTCTACCCAATTCATATTCTTGTCCAGTGTCCAAGGGACACAAAATTTGTGGCTGGACACAGTTAAAGCAGAGCCAAGAGGGACTTTTATAGCACCTAATGTATATATTAGAAAAGGAAAAGTCTCAGGGGAGCCTGGGCGGCTTAGTCAGTTGTGCATCCAACTCTTTATTTCGGCGCAGGTCATGATCTCATGGTTCATGAGATTGAGCCCCACATCAGACTCTGCGCTGACCGCCTTAAGTCTGCTTGGATTCTCTCTCTTCTTCTCTCTGCCCCTACCCTACTTGAGTGCTCCCTCTCTCAAACATTTAAGTCCCATCTGAAGAACCTAGAAAGAGCAAAATAAACTGAAAGCAAAAAGGATTAAAAACACTAAAAAATAGGAATCAATGAATTGAAAACAGAAAAAGAGGACTTTTTTAAAAAGTGGTTTCTTTGAAAAGATCAATAAAATTGGCAAACTTCTACCAAGACTCACAAAGAAAATGAAGACAAAAATTACCAATATAAAAAATATAAACCCTACAGAAATCAAAAGGATAAGGGAATACCATGAACAATTCTAGATACATAAATTTAACAACATATATGAATGCGGCCATTTCCTTGAAATACACAAACTGTACTCACTCACCCAGTACAAAACTTAAATAGCCCTATACCTATTAAAGGAAATGAATTCAAAATTTAAAAACTACCAGAAATCTCCAGGCCCGAAATGTTTCACTGGAAAATTCTACTAAACACTTTAAGAATTAACTCTAATTCTATAGACTCTCTTCCAGAAAACAAAAGATGAGGGAACACTTTCAAATTCATTTCATAAAGCTAGCATTACCTAGATACCAAAACCAGACAAATTGAGCATAAAATAAATGAAAATTAAAGACAAATACCTTTATGAATATCGAGTCAAAAATCCTTAAGAAAATATTAGCATACAGAAGTAAGCAATATATAAAAAGATTTATAACCATGAGCAAGTGGGATTTGTTCCAGGAATGCAAGGCTGGTTCAATATTTAAAAATCAATTACAAGGCTAACAAAGAAATCATATCAACTGATACAAAACAAGCATTTGACAAAATTAAACACCTATTCATGATTAATAACTCTCAGCAAAAGGGCAGAGGGAAACTTCCTCAAATTGATAAAGACAATCTACAAAATACCTACTGCTAACGTTATACATAATAGTGCACACAGAATACTTCCATATATCAGAAAAAAGAGGGATGTCTGTTCTCACAACTCTTATTCAACATGATGCTGGAAGTTCTACTCAGTACGATAAGTCAAGAAAAGGAAAGAAAAAGCAGACATATTGGGAAGGAAGAAATAAAATTATCCCTATTTCCAGATGACATAATTTTCTACATAGAAAATTCCCAAAAATTTTACCATTAAGTATACCAAAAAAAGCAACTCCTAAGACTCTAATATAAAAATATAAAAATCCATCCAATTCAAAAAGATATATGAACCATGTCTGACTTATTTTACTGAGTATAAAATATCCTGTACATCCATCCACGTTGTCACAAATGGCAAGATCTTGCGCTTTCTCTCTTTTTATGGCTAAGTAATATTCCACGCAGCATTATTCACTATGGCCAAGAAGATATGGAAGCAACCCAATTATCCACCCATAGATGAATGGATAAAGAAGATGTGGTATGTACGTACAATGGAATGTTATTATACTAAGTGAAATAAGTCAGACAGAGGAAGACAAATACATGATCCCACTTATATGTGGAATCTAAAAAGCAAAACAAATGAACAAACAAACAAAACCAGACTCTTAAGTACAGAAAACAAACTAGTGGTTGCCAGAGGGAAGGGGGTGGGGGTTGGGAGGATGGGTGAAATTAAAAAAAAAAAAAAAAAAAAAAATCCATTGTATTATGTCCAGGAACATACACATGGAAAGCAAAATTTAATACATTATAATTTACAACCACTTGAAAAAAAAAGAAACCCAAACAAAAAGACATAGAAATAAATCTAACAAAACATTTATGTGGTTTATATACCAAAAACTACACAATACTGATGAAAAAAAAAAATCAAAATTCTAAATATAAGGAGACATGGCATATTCACGGATCAGAACACTCAACATATTAAAGATGTTAATTCTCCCCTAATTTGATATACAGGTTTAACACTATTCTGATCAAAATCCCAGCAATATTTCTTTTAACTATAGACAGGACTATTCTAAATATATATAGAAAGGCAAAGGAACTAAAATAGCTAAAAACATTTTGAAAAAGACTATTGTAGGGGAATCGGTCTATCCTATTTCAAGACTTAATTACCTTATTTCAACTTTCAAGTAACTACTGGCAAAGGGGCAGACACATACATCAATGGAAAAGACGAGAGAATCCAGAAATAGATCCACACAGATATGTCCAACTGATTCGAGAGAAAGGTGTAAAGGAAATTCAATGGCGGGTAGACTTTTCAACAGATGGTGCTAGGGCAACTGGACATTCACAGACAAAGGAATGAAACTTGAACTACTCCTTTACTTCTTTTAGCTCTATTTTAACTCAGATCACAGACTTAAATGTAAAACATAAAGCCATGAAACGTTCAGTACAAAACACAGGATCCATAAAAGGAAAATATGATAAACAACTTCATCAAAACCAAAACCTTTTGTTACAGAAAAGACCCTGTGTAACATCATGATTTATAATAAGAAATACATATCTGATCTTCATCCACTGTTCCTAAAGCTCCTAAAATCCTGAAAGTGATTCAAGGATTTCTTCCAAAGTGAAGTTGTAGAGGTGCCTCTTGAGGTGTCAATGAAGTAACTTTCAGCCTCCACAGGAGGATGGGGGCTGGCTGACAGGAACCAACCATGTGACTGGAAGGTTAGAACTTCCAGTCCCAGTCCCCCAGGAGGAGGGGCTGGAAGTCAGCTCAATCATCAAGGCCAATGATTTAATCAGTCATGCCTATGTTATGAAGCCACCACAGAAACCCAAAAGCATGGGGTTCAAGGAGCCTCTGGGTTGGTGAACAAACAGAGACTCGGGAAGAGTGGTGCTCTCGGAGAGAGGGAGAGGGCATGGAAGCTCTGTGCCCTTTCCCCATACCTTGCCCTACTCATCTTTTCCATCTGGCTGCTCCAGAGTTATATCCTTTTATAATAAATTGGGAATCTGTGAGTAAACGGGTTTCCTTATTACTGTGAGCCACTCTCACAAACTGATCAAACCCAAGGAGGGGACTGCGGGAACCTTGATCAGGAGCACAGGTGACAACCTGGCCTTGTGACTGGAATCTGAAGTTAGGGAGGCATGGGCAAGTAGCAGTCCTGTGGGACTGAACCTTTTATCCATGGAATCTGAGGCTATCTTTGGGTAGGTAGTGTCAGAATTTAGTTGAATTACAGGACATCTAGCTGGTATCCTAGAATTGCTTGTTGGTGTGGGGGAAAGCCCCACAGCGCTGGAACTGGGTGTGTTAAGTGGGTGAAAAGACTACACACTGGGGAAAAAATGTCTGCAAATCACATATTTGACAAAGGCCTAGTATCCAGAAAATATAACGGACTCTGAAAATTCAACAGTAAAAAAACAATTCAATTAGGACATGGGCAAAGGCATGAAGAATATTCCACAGATGATGACATACAGATGACAAGTAGGGACATGCAAAAATGTGCAATATCTTTACCTAACAGGAAAATACAAATTAAAACCACAATGAGATGTCACTGCACATCTATCAGAAAAACTAAAATAACAGTAGTGACAACACCAAAGCTGGGGAAGATTCAGAGTAACTGGATCACTTATTCATTACTGGTGAAAATGTTAAATAATACAGCCAGTCTGGAAAAGTCTGGCAGATTCCTAAAAAACTAAACAACACTAAAATATGACCAAGCAATTGCATTCCTGGGTATCTATCCTAGAGACATGAGGACTTATGTGCCATAATAATCTGTACACAGAATTGTTCATAGCTGCTTCATCCACAATAGCCAAATACTGGAAACCAGCCAGATGTCCTTCAACAGGTGACTGGTTAAACAGACCATGATTCATCCATACCATGGAACACTGCTCATCAATATAAAGAAGCAAACATGCAACTGCCTGCGAGAATCATCAAAGAATTAACCTGAGTGGAAAAAACTATTCTCAGGTTACATACAGCATGATTCTACTAACACAATATTCCTGATATAACAAAGTTTTAGAAATGGAGAACAAATCAGCGGTTGTCAGAAGTTAACAAGTGAGTGGGGCAAGCTCAGAAAAGTAATGGATTTGTCCAAAAAATCGGTGAAACTCTATTTCGAAGAAAGAAACCTAAAACCTAGATGTCAAACATTTTAGAGGATCTTTCTGAAATGAAAGAGCAAGGGATCCTCAAAAACTAAGGTGCCACAAAGACTGCCCTATCACTCCCCAACGCTTCCAAGGCTTTCATACACATTAACACAATGTGGACATGTGTGACCAATGACCCTAATGTCAAATAAAGTTTGTGAATCCTTAGAGAAATGAACACATTTTTGTAAAATAAATACTGTTAAGATTACAAAACCTGAAACTAAGAGGACATAAAACAGTAGCTGCTTCTGGGATGAGAAAGGGACCTAAAGAAGAACAAAGAGGGTTTTTACATTCTGTAATGTTCTATTTCTTTGTATTAGAAAACAGACACAATATTAATTGTTCATTCTGATGTTGCTACATTTTATATTTTTGTTTTTCAAAGTTAAAACAAAACTTTAAAGGGCTTTTAAGGAGCCTCAGTCAAAGGGTGGCTGGGTGGCTTAGTTGGTTGAGCATCTGACTTCGGCTCAGGTCATGATCTCACAGTTCATGAGTTCGAGCCCCATGTTTGGCTCTGTGCTGACAGCTCAGAGCCTGGAGCCTGCTTCAGATTCTGTGTCTCCCTCTCTCTCTTCCCCTCCCCCACTTGCACTCTCTCTGTCAAACATAAATAAACATAAAAAAAAATTTTTAAAGAAAGCCATTTATAGTATGATGACATAAAGTATGATCTGAGGAATGTATCATCAGAACACTGAACTGAATGAAACAAAGGATAGAAGAAAGAAAAGCCGGGCTAGGAGTAAAAAGGAATACAAAGATTAGCAGACAGTCTCCAGGTGGACAAGAGAGAAAACCACTGGGATGTACCTAAAAAACTGATGAAGTCTGGGGAAGAGTGAGCCTGCAAATCCCTGGCGACAAGATCCCCCTCTTACAGCTTCTTTAGACTCAAAGACACAACATACAAACCACAAGAAGCACAAATATGAGAAATCATACCTTTCAGGCCTAAAGTCTGCAACTGAAACAGTTTTCCCAGCTCAAAAGGTAGAACTCGTAACAGGTTGTTATTTAAATGGAGTTCCCTGTGGATGTAAAAATTCCACATCAGAACATATATTACCTTTTAACCCATGGCTAAAATCAGCACTATAATTTCTAATATTCTTCTCAGAATGAAAAATTTTATATTATATTCCAATGTCTAATATAGTGCTTCTCAAACAATGATGTAGCAAAGAAACAAAACACGACAAAAAAACCCCAGATTGCCACAGACCAAACATTTTAAAAATAACAGAAAACCGGGGCACCTGGGTTAGTATCCAACTTCAGCTCAGGTCATGATCTCACAGTTCATGAGTTTGAGCCCTGTAGGTCAGGCTCTCTGCTGACAGCTTAGAGCCTGGAGCCTGCTTTGGATTCTGTGTGTGTCTCTCTCTCTGCCCCTCCCCCGCTCACACTGTCTCTCTTAAAAATAAATATTGAAAAAATTTTAAAATATTTTTAAATATTTTTAAATAATTTTTAAAATTTTTTTTTTAAATTTCTAATTCAAGAAAAGAGAGGAGAAAAAAAAAAAAAAGACCAACAAAGCACAAGTCATATTTTTAAAGTGCATTAGATTCAATAGATACAAAACTGCTCTCACACGTTGTCTATTTCACTGCAGGCTGATGACACAGTTTACAAATGGGCACAGTCCACAGACTGCCCAAGAGCAGCACTGATCCAGCCACATGGAGTCTACTACACAACTTTAAGAAAGTGGAAATGATAAAACAGCCTAACAAGTTAATTGTTAAATGAGATTTAAAATGATCATGTAGCACCAACTGAAAATAGCTTATGACAGCTGCAAAATTAAGTTTACCATTAATATTTCTCCAAATTTTAAAGTTTCACATTAGACATAATGGAAGCTTTATTAACAATTAATATTTTTTTATGAACTATCAAAAGAATCTTCAGTAGTGAAAAGAAACAAAGACTCAACACTGAGTGAGATACTTACAATTTTCTGCGTAAGTTTTATTTATCAATTTTTAAAGGTGAGGAGAACTACTTCTAAAAAAAAAAAAAGAACCAGTATAATCCCTGGTTCTTAGAATTTAAATGAACCTCGGTTACTACTTAGTGAACCAGAGGCTGGTGAGGCCATAAACTAAACAAGCCTAAATAATTTGTTCCCATTTATTTCCACATATATCACATGGGAAAGGAGGTCTTTTAAGGAGATTAAAAATGGTCATGGAGGGGCGCCTGGGTGGCGCAGTCGGTTAAGCGTCCGACTTCAGCCAGGTCACGATCTCGCGGTCCGTGAGTTCGAGCCCCGCGTCGGGCTCTGGGCTGATGGCTCGGAGCCTGGAGCCTGTTTCCGATTCTGTGTCTCCCTCTCTTTCTGCCCCTCCCCCGTTCATGCTCTCTCTCTGTCCCAAAAATAAATAAAAAACGTTGAAAAAAAAATTAAAAAAAAAAAAAAAAAAAAAAAAAAAAAAAATGGTCATGGTATATACTCAGTAATTAAGCCCAAAACAATGTCAAAAAGCTGGAGTGGGAATAACAAAGGTAAAGAAACTCTCACGAGGTCCTTATTCCTTTGTACTATGCAGCAAATGGTAGGAAGCAGCAAAACAGCCAGGGGAATAAAAGAAAAGGCAAGTAATACGATATGGAGCAAGATTTTTCCACTGGGATTAACATAATAACTAGAAATTAGCTTTACTTTCAACTTGGGTGGATCCCATCTACCATACAAAAAAACAGGGATAATAAAAGAAATAGCAATTACCATTTATTAAATACAATATGTGTCCAGCAGGGTGCTAGTAGTTTCTTACTCATTATCTCAGGTATCTCTAATCTCAGCCCTGGCTAGGTAGGCTTTACAGTAACTTTACAGAGGACAAAACACTCAGCAAAGTTAAGGAGATTGCCCCAAATCACACAACTTGTAAATGGCAAAGTCACAGGATTCCAAACTGAACTGTGTGACTCCATACATATCCTATCTACTCCTCTACTCCTCACTGTAGTCCTCCAAATGCAGTGACTAATTCTAAATGTTTTTTTGAGTCCAGGCTTTATTACTATCATGCGTACAAGCCCTGGGATGGCCAAAAAGGTGTCATTCCTTGGCAGTGGTATCCTGGACCCTGTGTTAAGCATAATATGGTACCCCAGAATTTAGAGGGGAAAGCACCACAATCATTTGTAACAGGAGAGTCCGTATGTAGGATTAACATAACTGCCTTTTATTTATTTACCCCCACTTTATCCAAAAATTTTGTTTAGGAATAAAGTATATTACACATAACATAGCAATAAAACAAATTTTAGGCAATGTATCTACCTAATTTATTATTTATTGACATTCAATTTTCCCAGAAAACTTTACAAGGGATACAATTATGTTTGCTCTTGTTCAAATACCATTTAATTGGTAGTGCAGTTTCCTAGCAAAATAAGTGTTCTATTTTGTTTGTAGGGGGTTAAAGTCAGAAAAGAAGTCGAATCTGCACACCTGAGTGATACCATGTTTCCGAGTTCTGCCGGTAAACTCCGGATTTTATTAGAGGACAGGTCCAGATACACCAGATTGTGAAGCTTGGCAATGTCTGAAGGAATGCGGGACAGGGAATTGTCACTCAGATGCAAAGCTGTCAAGTGAGTTAGTGACCACAAAGATGAGCTTAAGCTTCTTACTTTTCCTGTAAGAGAAGGAAAAAATGGGGAAAGGATTATATGGTGTTGTCTACAATTTGGTCCCTGGATCAAATAACATTTAGATGTTTCAATGAATAATAATCTATCTTTCAAAACATTGTGAGGAAGGGTTTAACAGGAGAAAGCTTACCTATTCTAGGACAACGTACTGCTATGATTAGGCTATAAGCTCTACTTAGCAAACCAAAAAAATCTCAGTGTTTAAAATGCATCATTGTTTTTTAAGAGCACAACAGCTAAGACTTTATCCTTTAAGGTTGCCTCAGCTATGACACGAAAGAAAGATATGAATGATTTATAGTAATGATAAATCTAGTACGTCACCACGATCAATTTGGATACGCAAAAAAAAATCAAATCCTCTCTCGGAGGCTGTTCCTATCTATACCCTAGAAAACAAGAATTCTGCCTGCAAAAAAAAGGTAAACCATATATTCTCAGCTTAACAAAGTTTTAAGACCAGTGTACTCAAGTGATAACTGCATCAAGAATCGTATAACTAAACAAAAGCTGTACTGAATAATTTACAAGCAAAAATACTTGCCCAGAAACATCAAAGATATGAAGTCATAATCAAACAGTAGTAGACCCCGGGTTCAGTAACTAAGAAAGTAATCTCTTTCAATGTAACATTAAATCAGTACTTTGGTACTTCTTGGTAAGATGACAATCATTTCTACAATCCATCTAAGAACTTTCCTCCAATCTCTTTAATGGTCTAAGATCTAGTCTGAAACAGAATGAAACAAACAGATGTAATGGAAATACACTAGTCTTTGAGAACTGATTTTCTATTGGCTGAAAAAGCAATCTTAAGATTTCTAATCAAGGTGGAGTAACAGAGACCAAATTTACTATCCTACCTGAACAACTACCACACCAGACAATATATATGAATCAACAAATTTCAGCGATTAGACTTCAACCAGTGCAGAAGAGTGATCCCCAAATGATCACAAACAAGGCAGGCCTTACAACTGTCTCAGCTTCCTGGACTGCACAGGTAGGAGATCCCAAGGGCAGCACAGTGATCTCCCCTAAGTTCTGGAGCAGGGAAGCCAAGATGACCAGAATTTACAAAGGCAGAGACAGTACCAGAGAGGAAGAGATAAACAAAGAAGTCTGGAGATGGGAAAAAGTTCCCCCTCAAGTTTTCAGCTAAGTATTGATCAGTATAAACATGTGAGAAATTGCCTGAGCCAGAAGGAAAAACACCCAAAAGAAGTAAAAACAATCCCTACATTTACACAGAACTGAAGCTAGCTAGTGCTGCCAACTACCAGAAGGAAATGTATCATAACTCACAAGGTGCTGGATTTATTAGTGGTATAAAATCAGGGGCACCTGGGTGGCTCAGTTGGTTAGACGTCCAACTTTGGCTCAGGTCATGATCTCACGGTCTAGGAGTTCGAGCCCCGCATCAGGCTCTGTGCTGACAGCTCAGGGCCCGGAGCCTGCTTCGGATTCTGTGTCTCCCTCTCTCTCTGCCCCTTACCCGCTCATGCTCTGTCTCTCTCTCTCTCTCTCAAAAATAAATAAAAACATTAAAAAAAAAAAATCAGCCCTAAAGATTGCTCTGGTCTCACCTAAGAAAGTTTAAGAGCAAGCCTCAAAAGAACTAAACTGTTTCTGAGTAACCTAACTGTATCCCAAAATAAAGTTCAATACTGGTTATAGGAATACAAAAATATGCATTGCCCAACAGGGCAAAATTCACAATACAGCAACAAAACTACTCAAAATGAAAAGAGAGAAAAATACTAGAAAAAAACACATGCATGGGCACCTATGTGGTGCAGTTGGTTAAGCATCCAACTTCCGATTTTGGCTCAGGTCATGATCTCACAGTTTGTGAGACCAAGCCTCACCTCAGGCTCTGCGCTAGCCTACTTTGGATTCTCTCTCTGTCCCGCCCATTCGTGCTCTCCCCCCCCCCCAAAATGAATAAACATTAAAAAAAAAAAAACAACGTCCATGAACTCTTGGACAACTTTAAGCAACCTAATATATATGTAATTGGAGTCCCCAAAATAGGGGAGTTGGGGACAGAAAAAAATATCTTAGGAAATAAACCCAAAAGATAACCAGATATCCACATGTTTTAACTTTTAAGAGTTAAACCTTTACCTTACACCATATACAAAAACTGACTCAAAAACTTTTGGAAGAAAACAGAGGCATTTACCTTCAAGACCTGAGATTATGCAATGGTTTGTTAGATACGACACTAACAGCATATGCAACAAAAAATATGTTAAACTGTACTTCACCAAAATTAAAACCTTTTGTGCCTCAAAGATCACCATCAACAAAGTGAAAAGTGTGTTCACACAGGAGAAACTATCTGAAAGTCATAAATTTAATAAGATATTTGTATCTAGAATATATAAAGAACTGATACAACTCAGTAAGAAAAGACAAATAATTCAATTTATAAGTGGGCAAAGAACAGGCACTTCTCCAAAGAAGATACACAAGTGGCCAACAAGCACGTGAAAAGATGCTCATTATCACCAGCCATCAGAGAAAGGCAAATCAAAAACAATGATACGCTACTTCATACCCACTAAGATGACTATAATAAAAAAGACAGAGTATTGGCAAGGAGTAGAGAAACTAGAACCTTCACATACTGCTGGTGGAAATGTAAACTAACGAAGCCACTTTGGAAAATAGTATGGCAGTTCCTCAAAAAGGTTATACAAGTTACCACATGAGCCAGCAATTCATTCCGATGAATATGCCCAAAAGAAAGAAAAACACGTGTCCACACAAAAACTTAAATGCTCACTGCAGAATTATTCTTAAGAGTCAAGAAACAGAAACAATCCAAATGTCTGTCAACAGATAAATAAAATGTGGTATATTCAAACATATGAAATATTAATACGTGTTAAAGCACGATTGAACCTTAAAAATAATTCGCTGAATGGAAAAAGCTAGTGACCACACATTACATAATTCCATTTATTTGAAATGCCCAGGAGAGTAACAAATCTATTCAGACAGAAAAAAGATTAACGCTTTCAAGGTCTGGCTAGCTGAGGTGAAATGAAAGCTAATATGTATCGGGTTTCTTTTGGAGGCAATGAAAATGTTGTCAAAACTAATTGTGGTAATGGGTGCAAAACTCTGTGAATATACAAAACCACTGAATGTGCATTTAAGTGGATGAATTATGTGAATTATATCTTGGGCTATCACCAAAAAGAAAAAAAAGAAGACAATGAAGAGATGCAAAAAATTTTCTACTTTTCATGAAAACTATAAACCTAGACACAAAAAGCTCAATGAACCCCCAAGTATATGAAAACTCCACGAAGAATAAAAAAGAAAACTACAGGAAGGCACATCTTAATCAAATGGCTTAAAACAAATGATAAACAGAAAATCTTAAAAGCTGCAAAAGGAAAAATAATTACACAGAGAAACAAAGATAAAATGTCTGCAGACTTTTACTTGTGAACAGTACGAGAGAGATGACAAGCAGAGCAAAATCTTTAATATACTGAAAGAAAAAAAATACTATGAACCTAGCAACCCAGTAAAAATACCTTTCAAAAAAGAAGACAAGTTAGAAGATGAAAAGAGCTACAGAGATGGATGGTAGAGACGGCTGCACAACATTATGAGTGTTTTTTGTTTTTTTTTTTTTAATTAAGTGTATTTTAAGAGAGAAGGAGCACAAGCAGGGTAGGGGCAGAAAGAGAGGGGGGAGACGGGGGGCGGGGGGGGGAGAGGGAGAGGGAGAGGGAGAGGGAGAGAGAGAGAGAGGGAGAGGGAGAGAGAGAGAGAGAGAAATCCCAAAAAGGCTCCACACTGTCAGCGTAGAACCTGATGCAGGGCTTGCACTCATGAGCCTTGAGATCATGACCTGAGCTGAAACCAAGGAGGACGCTTAACTGAGTCACCCAGGTACTCCTGAACATATTTGATAAAAACCTTCCCACAAAGAAAATTCTTGAACCAGAAAGGCTCATTGGTGAATACAACCAAATATTTAAGGAATAACTATAATAATTCTACACAAACTGATCCAGAAACGTGAAAGCAAGAAGATCCTTTCGAACTCATTCTATGTGGCCAACATCACTCTGATACCAAAACCAGATAAAACTAGTACCAAAAAAACTACAAATCAAATCCTGCATGAACAAAAATGCAAATTTTAACAAAATTTTAACAAATCAAATTCAACAATAGATTAAAAAGATAATGACCAAATAAGACTTGCGCTAGGAAATTCAAGGTTTGTTAAACATTCAAAATAATTTTTCAAAAAACTTTAGAAAAGAAAATCATATACACAGATGTAAAAAAGCATATGACAAAATCAACATTTAAAAATCAGCATTTAATCAAATCAAATCCTGATTTTAAAAAAAAAGCTTGCTTGTAAGCTAAGAACAGAACTTCCTAAATCTTGAAGAAGGGTATGTATAAGAAGGTTAGTGGTAAGGGAATGAACACTTTCCCCCCGAGATCAGAAACAAAGCAAGATACGTCCACTATCACCACTCCCAATCAAAATTATGCTGGAAGGTTTAGCCTGTGCAATGAGAAAAAAAGTCGAAAGAAGTAAAGTCATGGTTATCTGCAAATGGCACAATCATCATGTAAAATCCTAAGAATCTACGAAAATACCACCAATAAATGAGTTTAGCAAGGTTGTAGGACAAAGTATCAATATACAAAATATCTACTGTATTTTTATATACAGCAATGCATAATCAGAAACATATTTACAATCACATTTACATTAGTACCAAATTACAAAGTAGAGGAAAATATGACAAAAATATGTGTAGGACCAATATATTAAAAACTACAAAACACCCTGAAAGCAAGTAAAGAAGTCCTAAAGAAGCAGAGAGAGGGGCGCCTGGGTGGCGCAGTCGGTTAAGCGTCCGACTTCAGCCAGGTCACGATCTCGCGGTCCGTGAGTTCGAGCCCCGCGTCGGGCTCTGGGCTGATGGCTCAGAGC